GGGGGACAGCCCCAGGAAGGGCCACGGCAGTGGTGCAGGATGCGGCCCCGGGGGCTGCCAGGGAGCAATGCTCGCCCCGGGCAAGGGCAAGAGGAGCCACCCCGGGGTGCCGGGGGGGAATGGGCCCTTCCCAGGGGTGCGGGTCCATGGCCCTGAACCCGAGCGATGGTGGGCAGCGAGGCAGGCTGTGGGTGCACAACCTCCCCAGTGTCCTCCCGGGGCCGATTTGGGTCCCCAGCACCATGCAACCCCCAGGTCTGCAGGCAACTTCGCTTGGGCTCCGGTGATTCCAATGGAGAGCCGGTCCCCCGGTTTTCCCCATCCCCAGGGGCTGTGCGGAGCATCTCCTCCCCGGGCACGTCCCAAATTGGGATGGGGGACCCCGGTATCCCCCATGAGCCCGTTCTGGGTACTGATCCACTGCTGTCCCTGCAGGTCTCTCTGGCGGACACGTGGCATCCTCCGTGGAGGCAGGGGCTGCTCGGGGACGGCTGTGCCCCCCTCAAAGCTGAGGCTGGCTCCTGGAGCTGCCCTGGGCATCATGGCCGAGGTCACGGTGCCGATTTGGGGTGCTGCCCTGGGGGGGGGAAACCATTCCTCCTTCCCTGGAGGGCTGCTGCAGGTCCCCGGGGAGCGTGGCCGCGGGGGCTGAGGCCGGGGTGTGGTGGCAGGGCGCGTGGGGCAGGGTTGCTGCCCTTCCTGTTTACAAAGCGGGGTAATTAGGACCGGTCGAGGGAGCAGGCGTGCGGGGAGCCGGCGTCGGCAGAGGGGAGGCGAGGGCTGTGGTGCCGGGCGGGAGGAACCGGTGCCGGCAGGCAGGGCCAGGCGCGGGGCGAGCTGAGGGCTCAGCCGGCCGGCACTGGGGTGGGAGTGGGCAGCCCTATGGACAGACAGGGGACCCGTGGGGTCCATCCGGGGGTGTCTGCGGGGTCCCCGTGGGTCAGGGTGGCCCTGGGGAGCGGGATGATGGGTGTCTATGGGTCACGGTACTCCTGGAAAGCAGGATGAAGGGTGTCTGCGGGGTCCCCGTGGGTCAGGGTGGTCCCAGAGAGCAAGGTAAGGGGTGTCTACGGGATCCCCATGGGTCAGGGTGACCCGGAGGAGCAGGCTGAGGGGTATCTGTGGGGTCCCAATGGGTCAAGGTTCAAGGTGGTGGTTTGGTGGCCATGGGCGTTCCCCGGTGCCACCGTCCCATGGGGGAGGTCCCATCCCACCGCATCCCAGGCCTTGTCCCCATTGCCAGCCCCGCGGAGGCGGGGTGCTATCTCCCCACTGCCAGCCCCATGGAGGCGGGGCACAGTCCTGCCCGCCCCTGGCCATGGGGCCCGGCCACCGGCCCCACAGCATTTAGGAGGGACACTCTGAGCCTCGGCAGTGCCAGCCTGGCCTCGCGTTCCTCTCACCACCACTCAGCACCCCAGGTAGGTACCTCGGGGCCCCAGGGACCGGACCCCCCTGTGCGGCACTCAGCTGGCCCCACGGCTGGGCTTCTCTGGCCCCACGCAGGTGGAGGCTGTGGGGCACTGGGCACCCCCCTGGGCGGGTTCCCTGGGGGAAGGGTGGGTGTATT